AATTGACAATAGTTTTGGTAAAGCTTGTAAAGTTTGTCCTTTGAATGTAATCTTTCAGTTTTTCTCCAGTTAGAATGGTATTATTGCTATTGTTTCCAATGCAGCTTCTATTTTGTGGGTACCAAACTAATGGAAAGTCACAGTTTTCTTTGAAGAAAGCCTCAAAAGCATTGGCAATAGTGTATACTGCATCAATAGCTAAAGCATCAAATGAATCTTGTGAATAACTAGCATTTTGTGTTATGCCTGTAGAACAATTGCCAGTAGTACTGTTATTACTACAGTTTTGATTGTAAATTTGGTAGAATTGTGCAAACCAAGGATTGCGTCTGTTACTGCTAGGAGTAAGCAGGGAATAATATTCATTAAATCCATCGACAACTGGAGAAGAAGGTGCTGTTCCCCACTTACCAATAGTTATGTCATGATAGTTATCTATCTCTGACCAACTGTCACTGGCTAACCAAAGGAACCTTCTTTTGTCGTTACTATTGTTGTATACAGTACTAACTGCATCTAAAATCTTCTCAACTTCTGTTAGTGAAGCAAATAATACAACAACATTAGCTGTAGAGTTATACAGTTTGGATGCTACGCTGTCATAATCTGATTTCTCATCTAAACTCTCACTAATGTCTAAGCAAATTCCTTTCTCTTTAGCTAATTTATGGAATGCATCTATTGCTGGTTGACCGTATCTGTTGCTAGAGTAGAGTGTTGATACATGATCCCATTTGAAATGAAGTATCAGGTCAATCATTGCCTGGACTTGGTGATTATCAGGTGGTATAGTACGAAAGAAATACGGGTAAAACTCACGATTATTGAGTATCGAAGAAGTAGAGGAGAAACTAACTTGAGGCATTTTGAAAAGGCGGAAGAGACTAGCAACTGATATGGTGACAGGACTAATGATTGCTCCAATAACTGCTGACACTGGTGTCTCTGTTAATGATGTATCATTATCAAACTCAGCACTGCAGCTCTCTATCTCAATCTGTCCATTTGAGTAGATGATATCAATGGCTTCATCTAGAGCAACACTCTCACTAACGCAGGTGTCTCTTATGTCATACCCCAGTGTCAAATTAGGAAGGATATTGGGATCAGAGTTAATGACATCAATGGCATATAGGAGTGCTTCCAAGTTCTCTACGCTTTTGTGCTCTATGATTGCATCCACACACTTTCCATTTTCGCTCTTATGTACACGTACTAGTCCACCTATCACTATGTCCTTTCCAATTCGATTCTTCATTCCACTTATCCTTCCATCCAGTGTCATGAGTAATTCAGATTCTTCATCATAATTATACTTGGCTGTTGCTTGCGAGATAGAGGCTAGAAAAAGGACAGCAACCAAAGCTGTCTTCATCACCTTTCCTTTTCTCACCTTCTTTCCCAAAACTGCACTAGAATGTTTTGATTGTATAGTAAGGCAACTCTTCCCTCCTACTCAGTTATTTTTAGTCTGGTTATCTTGCAAGTTAGATCTATTCTAACTGTTTAATTTTCACCTACACCAGTCTACTAGTGAACAATCCAGTTTGTTTTGTATGAGATAAAGATGAGTGTTTTTGATATAATGGGCAACAATGAAACTGGATGGGGTATTTGTTTATTATTTCCGCTCTTCGGTAACTATCAATATTGATGAGTTTTGAATTGTCTAATCAATAACAAGAGTAGATGACATTGGTTCCTTTTATTATTGATTTATATTCTATAAATGACCTTTAAAAGTCTGATGTAAGGGATTTTATAATACTGCCTACTAGATCTACTACATAATGAGCTGGTGGATTGTTAGGTACTAATATTTTACTATCTATCACTTGCATAAAATATTGATAGTCGGAATTATGCAATAAATTAGGAATATGTTGGTACCAATAACAACCATTAATATTAGTACCAAATAGCCAATATCAATATCATTATCATACCAGTTTGATCAATGCTATATGGACATTAGCCATGGTCTTAAATGTTCATAACTCAAAAAATGTGGCAGAACTGGCTCAAGCTTTCTGCTTCATCCATAAAACAAGTGCATCAGAAGTCAAAGTTATTTTAGAATAGCAAAATCAGCACACACTCACACACTAAAACTAATAATTGAGTAATTATAGAAATAATTATAAATTGTCTTTCACCAGTGTCATTTCAGTCAGAGCTAATTCAGTGTCTTTCTTCTTTTTATCACTATTGTCAGCTGGCGTAACAAAAGTACTGCTTCGTGACATACCAGTAAATGTTGATAT